AAGCTCAGTATGAGCCATTAGTGTTATGTGGCAGGCAAAAAAAAAAAGTTACAGTGATCTTTTACTGAATTAATAGAGACACTGTGTTCAGAATAAGGGAGCTGAAAATACCACTGCTCTCTGATCTGGTCAGTTCTCATCTGTTCAGGTCACGGTGCCACATTTTCGGAAAGGCATCAACAAATTAAAATACTTTCAGAGCAAAACAACCAAGAGAGAAAAGGGACTTGAAATCATGCCACACAAGGACTAGTTAAAGAAATTGGCAACGTTAGCTAAGAGAAGAGAGGACATGAGGGGTGGAGGTGGAGGTGCAGAAAGAAATCTCTGTCCTCAAGGAGCTTACATTCTGCTGAATGAATACAAGTTAACTACAAGGTATTTGGGAAGAGTAAGTATTAAGAATTGGGAAGTGAGGGGACAGGGATCAGGAAGGACATTCCAAAGAAGGTGGGACTTAAGCTGAGCCTTGATGGAAAATAACAATTCTGAGAGATGGAGATGAGGAGGAAGTATATTCCAGAAATGGAGACAGCTCATGTAAAAGTAGTGAGATAGGAAATGGAATGCTAAGTTTGGGAAATAGAACATTTCCCAGGGTAACTAGGAAGTAGAGTCTGTAAGAAAGATTAATAGAAAATACAGAAAAATAGGTTTGGAGCCACATGGTAGAGGGTCTTAGGGGCCAAGCTTAGAAGTTTTAATTTTATACCAAAAATAAGAGGAAGTTACTGAGGATTTTTGAGAGAGTGATATGGTGAGACCTGTGCCTTAGGAAGATTACTTTGATGGCTGTTTGACAGATGGGTTGGAGAAGGAATAGGAGGAGAGACCAATGGGGAGACCATTTAGGCATCTACTCCAATAATCCAAATAAGACGTGATGCATTCCTCTCACCACATAGGCATAGAGAAGAGAACAGATGTGAGAGATGTTGTGGAGATGGAATTAATAATATTTAATTGGATGGAGAGATGGGACATGGGGGGAAATATTAGAATTACTCCAAGATTTTTCACCTAGGTGGTTTGAAGGATGATGGTATTTTACAAAAGATATATGAAAGTTTGAGAAGTAGAGCAGGTTTAAAAGAGAGAAAAACAATGAGTTCCATTTTGACATGTAGTGCCTGAGATGCTGATGGGGCAAGCAGATGGATATGTCTAGCAACAGGTGGCAGTGCTAAAGTGTTATTCCAGTGAGAAATCTAGACCAGATATCTAGCTTTGGGAATTTTATGTATAGAGATCATTGAATCTATGGAAGCAGATGAGATTCCCAGGTGAGAAAATGTAGAGAGAAGGGACCTAAGAACAAAACTTTCAGAGCAAAAAAGAGATAGATGTGGATCAAGAAAAAAAGCTCAGGTTGGGATTTTCAGAAAGATAGGAGACTTAGAAGAGATCAAAGTCAAATAAGCTAAGGGAAGGGACAATGGAAGAGGAAGGCAGACAAAGACAGAGACTGGGCAAGAGTAGTGCTGAAATGGATGGAGACAAGATATACCTTGGAAAGGGGCTTGTACTTTGGCTGATATGACAGTGCCTCTGAAATACCAGATTTAGGGGAGCAGGTTGGGGAAGTTTACTACTCAGAGGATGAAGTAAATACAGATTGATCAGGGTATCTCAACTGACTGCAATATGGGGAGTCAATGGCAATGGTAATCAGGAAGATCACATGGTTAAGAATCCTGAATACGAAGCTAGGGCAACCATGTTCCTTCCCATCACAACCTTCAAGGGTCACAGGGCTGGTGCTGACCCCTGGTGACGCAGGGCTGAGGGCTGATATACAAGCAAGTAGTTAAGGAAAAGAGGATTTGTCTAATGTCTAGGGTCTCTTAGGTCAGATGCTGTGATTCCATGACTTACCATCCTCAAACAGATAAAGCACAGCACAAGGTAGTGCCAAGAATGGTCAAAATTGATGCTATGGATTAGAAGTTCAGAGAGAATGGTCACTGATGGTTGATCTGAGAAGGCTTCTTAGAGAAAATGACTTAAGTTTGGGACTTGAGAGGAGAGACTTAAACAAAGACAATTTTAAAAAATTAGGTGGAAGGAGACAATCTAGGCCAAGAAAAAGGCTAGAAGCAAAAATGGAGTTAGAAATCTGAGTGATCTATTCAGAGAATAATGAATAGGTTGTGTGCAGCTGTTTGTGTAACAGAGTATCGGGGAGATAGCTGTAAACACTCTTCAATGCCAGGCTCAAGAGTCTGGACTTAATTGTGTATTAATGGAAAACTACTGAAGCCTTTCTTTATATTCCCAGGTGTTATTTAATACCCTCTCCCAAATTGCTTTGTGTATAATTTGTATTTATTTATTTGTGTACATGTCCTATCTCTTCCTCTCTCCCCTACACCAGTAGAGTATAAATTCTTAAAGGACGGCTGCTGCTTCATTTATCTCCAGTACCTAGAATAATGCTTTGCCAATAGGTGTTTGATAAATCCTTGAGCTGAATTATTGAGGGGTGCAGGGGAGGAGGAACAGGCAATGATGTCTGCCAAGTAATGTTTCCTAACCGGGTAGGTAGAATGGATTGGAATATTAAAATGTAAGTTTCTTGAAGGCAGAGAGGAGTTCACTATTGTTTTGTATTCCCAGCACTTAGCACGGTGCCCAACACATAGCAGGTGTTGAATAAATGCTTGTTAATTAAGGATAGATGTTGTTTAGGAGATTATTGTAATAGTTCAGGATGAGAGAGACTGTGAAAGAAGTAAAAATACAACTTTATAACTGATTAGGTAGATGAAGAGAGAGAGAGTAAGTAGTTGACTCTAAGACTTGAAGCCTGGGTAAATGGGAGACTGATATCACTGACAGAAACAGGGAAGTCTGGAATTGGTTTTGGGGGAAAGCTAAGTTTGGCTTTAGACATGTTCAGTTTGAAGTGATGGCAGGACAACAAGGTGGAAACACTGGTATTGTGGGAAGGGCACGGAATTTGTAGTCAGAGGACCTTGATCCAAAGTCTGACTCTGCTATTAATTACGTATGTGACCTTGAGCAAATGACTCTTTAGGGCATCAGTTTCCTCATCTGCATTATGTAGGCACTGGACCAGGTAACTTCCAAGTTTCCTCTTTCCCTAAATCTACAATCCTATGAAGCAGTGAGAAATGAAGACTGAAGCTCAGGAGTTATATCTTCGTGTAGGAGTAAATGTGTAAGGAAATGATAGTTGAAGTAGATAAAATAGCAGCTTGGAAAGTGTCAAGGGAGAAAAGAAGATTGAAAACAGAGTTTTAAGGAATTCCCCATTATTAGGAGTGGGGGAAGAAAATGGAAGGCACAGGCAAAGGGAAACAAGTGGTCAAAGAGGAGAGTAAATTGTCAAGAACCACAAAGAGGATCTTGGTTTTCTAATGGTTGATTCAGTTGTTTCAGTTGCGTCTGACTCTATGTGACCCCTTTTCTTAGGTTTTCTTGGCAAAGATATGGAGCAGCTTGCCATTTCCTTCTCCAGCTCATTTTACAGATGAGGAAACTGAGGCAAATAGGGTTAAGTGACTTCCCCAGGGTCACACAGCTAATACATATCTGAGACTGGATTTGAACTCAGGTCTTCATGACTCCAGGCTCAGAGCTCTATCTATTAACCACTCTTTTTTAGTTGTTAGATGTCTAGTAAAATTATTACATTTTTTTAAAAGGTGGAGGCACTTACAGGGAAAGATAAAAAATTGTCACTCAGATGAAGGCAGGTTGGTATAGTGGAAACAGTATTATACTTAGAGTCAGAAGACTTTTCCTTAGCTCATATCTGCTACTTATTGTTAACTGTGAGATCTCAGGTAAGGCACTTTCTAAGTCTCAGTTTCCTTATATGTAAAACAGGGGTGAGGCGATCCCTCTAAAGTCCTTTAAGCTCTAAGTTTATGATCCTATGACCTGGCAGACCTCATTTCTTAACAAATATGGTGTTAAATGAGATTCATCTCTTTACATACTTCTAAATAGAGGGAAGACCTGGTCACAATTACCATTTTCAACAACATTTATCAAAATTGTAAAGTCAATAAGCATTTCCAATGGCTGCTCAATAAATTCGTGTAAATGAGCAAGCTGGGCATATAGTAGGCATTCAGCAAATCCTGTTCATTGAAGACTGATCAAGAATAACCCCTCCCTACCCCCTCCCAAAAAAAGCTACAATCCTCCAAACAAGACGTCTAGCTTAATCCAGTGTCTCATAGTCCAGAAAAGAAATTGACTTAGATGTAACCTAAATCCTACCTACTACAGAAGTCGAAAAAGAATTAAAATTTCACACTAGAGAAGTCTCAAAATATACCCTTGGGTAAAATAGAAATGTATTTGCACTAAATTCAAACGAAAGTATAAATGACTTGAAAGCCAGTTTGAGCAGGAACAGCTGAAGAGGAGGAAGAAGAAAGAACCTCCCCTTTAAAGAGGGATGTATGGGGAAAGGGGTGGGGAGGCTAGGGAAAGGGAAAGGTAGCCTGGGGATATCTTGACTACTTCCAGACTTGCGCAGTACCAGGCTTTACCTCCCCCCTCATCTTGCCACAACTCTTATCATATTTACCCACCACCTCCAACATACTCTAACATAAAATGTGAGCTCCTTGAGAGCACATTTTCTACTTGTCTTAGGGATGCTTGGCATGTAGCAAGTACTTAATAAGGGACCTTGGCTTTGACCCACATCTGCCTTCCATGCCATTGGACGTGCTCAGGGGTGTGCTGGAGCCGGCTCTAACTAAGCTGTTAAATTTTTCATCTACACCTCCAATTGACAACAGGGCTTGATTTATTGTTGATTTGATTGTCTAGATTTAAGTACTAGCGACGCATATTAAATATAACAATGTGTCAGGAGGGTGTTTTGTTTTGGTTTTTTAATCCCCAGAGAGACAGTTGTTAAACATTTACCAGCACACCCCTAGGCAAGATGGTCCCTTTAACTGACCTCGGACCAGTTGGATTCTTGGCTACGCTCTGAGAATTCAGACCTGCGGAATCTTGGAGTCAATGTGGGGCTCAGAAGCCATCCAGGGCAGCCTGTCCATCCCTAACCATTGACTCTCCCACCCTCGGGCAGGTGACCCCTCTAGGTTCATTCCCCGATCTCGAAAATTTATTACCGCTATTACCTCTTCCCCCAACCCCGGGAGTCTGCTTGCAGATCTCCAGCCTCAGCGCCCCTCCCCGAAGATCCCCCTTGCCCAGATTCGCCCGTGCACTCGGCTGCACTTTAGTCCTTTACAGCCTCAAACCTCCAGGATGGTTTCCACTCCTCTAAATCCTTCCCTTTAACTACCAGCCCAATTCCCCTCTCAGCGGGAGCCCTCAGGTAGTTTCCAGGTTCCCCTAGCTGCGACGCTCCCTCCAGGGTCTCGGGTTCGAGAGCATCCCCATTGCCTCACTTCCCCCTAGCCAATCTGAGCCCTGCCGGACGAGAGGGGGGCGTTTGTGACGTTTCCTCCAACAGGCCTCGACCCCTCCCCCACTGGTTGCTAAAACAGGCGAACCCGCGTGCTTGGTTGTCAAGCGCAAACAAAGGGGGTCCCTCCCCGCCCCGCCCCCACCTGTGCCGCCCTTCCCTCTAAGGTCCTGCTGCTGTCCTTCCGCCTTGGGTGCGAGGCGCCTGTCTCTCCCCTCCCCCTCCCCACCCGCGGCTTGACGCCGGTGCAGACAGGAGTGAGACTGAGCCGGTCTGGGAGCGAGCCTCAGGTAGCAACCCGGGGAGGGGTCGGGGTGGATCTAGGGAGCGTCTTCCCTGCAGGGCTCCCCCCTGAGCCAAACCGCTGAAGGGGCCTGCAAGACTGACTGGGTGGGCATGCGATCCCAGGAATGAGTACTGGGGAGAAGGACCCCAATCCAAACCCAGTTGGTAGGGCAGAAGACATGTATCGTAAGGCCGTCCCATTATTGTGATTTTTCTAAATACTATTTTTCTATTGTTTTGACCTCTGTCTTGAGCTCCAGACCTGAATCTCCAACCACCGGAAGGATATCTCCATCCGGATGTGACACCAGCACCTCAAATTCAACATATCCCAACACTACCTTCCCGACTTTGTGATTTCACCAGTCTCCTGCTTCCATGGATTCCATGTCTTAAACTTTGGGGTTATCATTGGCTCTTCTCTGTCTATTGTCTAGTGCTGTCAACTCTACCTTTTCAACTTCTTAGATATTCCCACTGCCTCTCTCTTCCCATTAACCCTACAGTATCTCATTACCATAGCAACTAGGTGGATAGAGTGCTGCCGATGGAGTCAGAAAGACTCATCTTCCTGAGTTCCAATCCAGCCGCAGACACTTATTAGCAGTGTGACCCTGGGCAAGTCAAGTAACCCCAAGCAAGCCTCGGTTTCCTCATCTGTAAAATGAGCTGGAGAAGGAAATAACAAACCACTCCAGTATCTTTGTGAAGAAAACCCCAAATGGAGTTACAAAGAGTCAAAACTACTGAACAACAACAAATTTCATTACCAGTTCCCTGGACAATTGCAATAACCTCTTAAAGGGTCTTCAATCTCACTTCCTGGATCCTCCAACGAAGCTTTCTTACCATTTTGAGACAGACCTAATACTTCGATGATTATCTTTCTTCCTCATAAATGTGGTCATGTCCTACTCAGAAATGTTCAATGGCTCCTACTAACTCCCATGTAAAGTTGAAAAATGCCTTTAAGACCCTCCACAATCTGGCACCAACTATCTTTTTCAGTCTTGTTTCCTCTTCAGACTTGTCTATACCTTCCCTAAAATGGACTGTTCTTTACTCCACAGCCTCTTCTCCATCTCTACACCACTGATCATGGTGGTCCCTTCATCCATCCTCTCACTCTTCACTTCTTAACCATCCCTTTGAGAACAACTCAGAAATAGCTCAGGATTAGGCAATCTCAGAGTTGTTAAGGATCCGAGAGGCCATGTAGGACTGAGATTCTTTAATTATGTGTGAGTGAGATAACCCCCTTTGGCAGTCTGGTAAGCCTATGGACACCATTTTAGAATGGTTTTTTTTTAAACTATTTCCATGAAATGCTAAATTTCAATTAGAGGATAGTGAATATAAAGATGTATCACACACACACACACACACACACACACACACACACAAGGTCTGTGACCTTGGATGGACAGAAAATACATTTTTTGGTGAAATTAGACTTTCTGAAATCTACCCACAGATCTCATGGGGGGCCTATGAATCCCAGGTTAAGAATCTCTAGAATGAACACATACATACACACAGACATACACACACACAAACACACATACACACACACACACACACACATCCTGAATAAGAATTCCCTCTATACCATACTTGACTAGTATACAGCCTTAGCTTGAAGACCTCTTGTGAAAGGAACTGCACCTTGAGGCAGTCATATCCACTGTTGTATAGCTGTAATGATTAGGAGGTTTTTCCTTATATTAAATCTTCTTCTCTATAACTTCTTATTTCTGGTTCTACCTGTGCCCAAACATGATCTTAAAGCCCTTCACCTGGTTGCTCTTCTCTGAACTCTCCAAGTCATCAACCTGCTTTCTAAAATGTGGCCGCTACAAATGAAAACAATGTCCCAGATGGTGTTGGACCAAGGAGCAGGATACAGCAGTACTTTCACCTCCCTGATGCTGGAAACTATATATTTTGTTGCAGCCTAAATTCCATAATTCCATTCACACTAGTAAATCATATTGACTTTGCAGTCCACTCAAAGTCTCAGATCTTTCCAGACAAACTACTGTCTAGCCTCACCTCCCTTTGTCTTGTACTCAAGAAGGTGATTTTTTAAACCCAGTGTAAAACTAAATTTGTCCCTATTAAATATCATTTATTAAATATCATATAAATTCCAATCAAGACACAATTCTGGGAAGAATGGCTAATGTGTAGGTTGACTAGCATCCAATATAACGGCTATCCCTCCCAGTATTGTCTCATCCATTAAAGCTTCTCTGCAGCTTAGTCTTAAATTAGGACAACTTTTTAAAAAGTTGCCTGGAACACTGGGAGATTAACTGACTTGCCCCAGGGTCAGAAAGCTGGTATGTCCCAGAGAGGGGATTTGACACAGGTCTTCCTAGCTTCTGGGCTGGCTCTCCCTCTCCAAAGAATTGATAAAAATGTTAAACAGCACCAAACACAGATCCCTGGGAAACTCCCAGGCTGAATACAATGAATGGGATGTTAGATTTATTACTATTTAATTTCATCTTGTTAGAAGTAGCCTAGTATTCTACCCTGTCAAAAAATCCTTCTGGATCCTGATTCTGTCATCTAGTATGCTAGCTATACCACTTAATTTTGGTCAGAGGATAATTTGCTAAGTTGTTAGCCCTTTTATTCACTTTGATCTCTTTAGACAGCTCCCCCTTTTTGTCCATCAGAACTGTCTCTCTTTGTGTTTTCAAATTTTCATTCTTGAAAACTTCCCATCCTTCCTGGGTTAACTTCCCCTGTAGATTTTTAGTCCATGGCATCTACCTATTCTTTCTCTATGCCCTTCCAAAGCTATTCTTCCCAAATCCAAGTTACATATTAGACTATACCTGGCTGTCCTTTCCTCTGTTGCCAAAGATAAGATGCAGTAGTCACTTCTGCCCCACCTAGTCTTTCCACTTTAGCTGCCAAGTTCCTCCTTATGATTGAAAATTAGGTCAAGATTAGCAAGTCACTCATCACTTGCTCCATCTTTTAAAGGATGAAATTATTATTAAGGCAAGGCAAAAAATTGTTAGGCATTTTGTTTTGGAGGTTCAGATAATTGAAATCCCTGCTATAGCATAACTCCATGCCAGGTTTATCTTTCCCCCCAAATTCTTTATTTATTTACTCTCTCTTGTCTGGGTTCACTTTAGCAATGTCTCAGGACAATATCTTTTCTGTTTGTCCCTTGCTGACCTTCAACTAAATTTTCCTTACCCCTCTTCCCCTGTTTTGGCTCCTACATTTCCTCACAACCATATCTTCTGAACACATAATGCCACTCCTCTTCCTGCCTTGTTCCTAGCCTCAGGATGCTTTGTCTTTTCTGTTGATTTTGAATGAGATGTACCCTTCCAGAGCATGAAGTTCCATCTTAATACGTATTACTGATAACTCTGAGATCAAATTTATCTCCTTGCATTAAGACTTGTAGCTCATCTTGCTTGTTACCTGTACTTGTGCCTTTCTGTATAGACATCTGAGGCCATGATTTTATTGCTGACTTCTTTATTGAATTTTGTGCCCTGTGAGTTACTGATCATCTTTCTACAAAGTAGCCACTTCTCTACAGCATAGATGTATTCAGTTTTCTTGTTCTTCCTTTTCAGTTTACAGCCATTTTTATTAGATTTTTAAAACTAGGCAAAGACATTTTTACCATTAGTATACTCCATTACTCCATATTTCATTAGCATACTCCATTTCTGGCAAAGAGCACATCATTCCTAGATTTTAGCCACATCTCTAATCTCAGACAGCCTGTTCATTTCCCAAAATTGCCTCTTTCTCCTGAAGCCTTTGCCTTTTGTTGGTAGCAATGATGAAAATACTACCTCTGCCTCCAACATCATCAGTTTCTTGCCAAGACTTTATAATTCTTAAAAAGACTTTCTAGAGTCCTTCTGTCAGTATCCATATGAAACATTGGAAATGGGTAGTAGTCATTACATTTGACAAAGTTGGGGAGGTTTTCAGTAACATCCTGCACCGGTATTTCAGGAAGATGGCTTTCCCTGTCGTTAATGTCAGGTAACTCAAATCATCTCACCAAGGAAGATTTCCCTGATTGACCCCTGTTTTGGTAAAGACCTTCCCTTTGGACTTTAGCACTTTTTTTTTAGCACTTCCTTAACTCATTTATCATGTAATATTTTGTATTTTTGTCATCTGATTTTGTGCTAATTCCCATCCTAGGCTATAAGATACATGAAAGGAAGGACCATGTCTTAGGTAAACTTTCTTTCTCCTCCAGAGCTAGGAGCTTAATAAGTATTTGTAGAATGAATCAAAGAATGAAAGAATCAGATTCTCCCTATAACTATATCAATCTGACATTTATTCTCAGGCTAGCTTCCTCATTCAATCCAGCACACTACTCTTGCCCTGGGTGCCCAATGAAAGTTCAATTATATCAACCAGAGCCAAAGGTAATGAAAAAGGCAAATCTGTTAAGTGGTGGGTAGACGCAGAATCATTCCAGAGCCAAATTCAATTGAACAAAGGTTTATCAAGCATCTACTATGTGCAAAACACTGATAGGAATTTAAATATAAGAAATTTATATTTTATTTTCTTTATGCAGTTGGATGCAATTGACGGTTTTAGAGGTGAGGGAGGGATGTGACTAAAGATGTTCATTGGGAAGATTAACCTCATAATATCATACAGAGTGTATTGTGCAGTTAGGGGAGAGGCTGGAGACAGGGATACTTCTAAGAAAAATATAACAGTGGGCCATCGAAGGCAGAACTAGGGCTTTAATTAGGGTCATGGAAGTGGAGACAGATGAAAGAGATTGCAGAGTCAATCAATGGGATTTAGCAATTGGTTGCTGTGGGAAGAGAATAAAGGAAAAGGAAAAATAAAAGGTGACTGAAGTTTGGAGGAAGTGGAAATTGGGGGAGGGGGAAATAAAACCTCAATTTGGGATATTTTAAGTTTGAGGTGTCAATGAGACATCCAGGTGGCAATAAATAGCAAGACAGTTGAAGATGCGGGTACTGAATCTCAGGAAAAAGAATAGAGGTTGGAAATATAATTTTGGAAGTCATCTGAATAGCAATGAAAATAGATGATATCAATTAGGGAGAGAATGCAAAAAGAAAAGATTAGCTAAAGATAATACTTTGTTGGGTTCCCATATTTAGAGGATGGCAGAAGAGAGAGGAGCCAATCAAGGAGTATGGGGACAGGAAGCCCACCCAATGTGCCAGAGGCCTTCCTCACCTTCTCTTGACACAATAGGAAAGAAACAGTTGAACTCTGGCTGTCCATCTGTCATCACTTACCCTTACCACATGATCAGCCTATCTTCTTTTCCCATTAGACAATTCCTTAATGACACCTTTTACTCCTGATCCCCTTTTTAATCCTTTTCCCCCCATGCAACCCATAAAATACATTAGCAATAACAAGTAAGTAAAACAGGGAGCTCCCAGATTACATGGCTCTTTCTTTCTCTTCTCCTCATCACCCCTCCCTCCTACCCCACAGTCCCCAACCCCACCACCAGCCACACCAAAGATGAGCTGTCCCTGGCCTTGCCCTAACCTGGAGTATGCCTCAGTATATACATTCCCAGCAGGGACCTGGGTTTCCAGAGTTTAGTGTCCTGCAGCTTCTGTCTCCCACCCCCACCCCCACCCCCACCTCTGCACAAGGTAAGTTATACAAGCTTGCCATGCGTGCCAGATGAGTTAATTGCTAGGCTCTGATATCTCCAATAAGCTATTTGCAGAGCCTGGCCTATTCTGTGGCACAACTTTGTTACTCTCACATAGACAGAGAGCCTAGGCTAAAGGACAGTTTGCAAATGGCGGTCTATTTTGGGTTGAGAACAGTGTAAATTTGCTAATCACTTGATACATAGCAACACACCTATGAGTATCAGTAAAAATATCTGTTGTTGCTGACTGTAGTGAGAAGGGACACAGATTTAAGAGAGACTGCATTGATTCTGAAGGATTGATTCAAGAACTGCTAAGCACTGTAATAAATGACTGGGTAGAGACATGGAATCTGAAGGTCTTTTAAACTTGAGAAAGAACTCCCCTTACTCCTTTTAGCTGCCTGAACTGAATGAAAGGTCATCTTGCTCAGAAGTAAGGAAGCCCAACCAATCTAAGATGTCTGTAGTATAGGAATGAAACTACAAGCAACTTTAAATCAAATGGGAGAAAAAAGAGAGGTGGGAAGGGCCAGATTAGAACTAAGGTTAGCTTTCCATACTTAGGTTTATTGTGAAGGGATAACAAGATAACAGTGAAGGTAAAACATAGCCATTCCCCAAGTGTCTCATATAATTCTTCAACTTTGGGAGGTTTGGGGTCATTGTTTTTTTTTTCTGTTGCCTCCTGAAATAAACCCCTAAAATGTCATCCCATACTCAAAATCAACGTAATCCAAACCAAACCAATTCAATCCAGTCCAACAAGATCCTACTACATGCCAGAGAACATATTAGATGTTAGGGAAACAAAGCCAAAACCAAATCAATCCTTCCATTAAGGAGTTTACATTCTATTGGGGGTGGGGCAAGGAGGGGGAACAACATTTAAAAAGATAAGTATATACATGATAATTAAGGTACACACTCTGTAATGAGCCCATTTATTAAGAATTGGTCAGCTCATTTGAGGCTAACTCCTGGCTCTTTCTAAGTATGTTAACATTTTAGTTGGTTTTGCATAATTATGTATTTCTCTGAATTTGAGTATATACAGCTAGCATTCTAAAATATCAATAGGTACTTTTTGCAAATGAAACATAACATATGTAGATATTTATGTTATATATAATACATAGGGGCACAAATAGTACACTTAAGTGGTATTTAAATTAAAAAAAGAACATTGAGCTAAATTTTCTCGTATTTTAACGGTAAATTCAGGTCCATGGGGGGTAAAGAAAGATATTATAACTAGATCTTTGCCTCTTTTGTTCCCCCTGTTAAATTAAAAAGCTTAACTCAAAGCTATACCAAAAATAGTTGCTTAATTAATGCTTTCTAATGACAATGATGATCTTGATAATGTTGCAGTGATAATATTAAAGCAGAAACAAAATGGAAAAAGAAATGTGCTTTTTAAAGGAAGTGCCAGATAAGATGTGTGCCCACCTGAGGAACTGCCACTGGGAACACAGGGGTTAGGGTACTTTGTTAACTACCGGATGGTAACTTTGCACAGACCTCCCTCACTTCAATCTAATTCACTTGCACATCATGGCATCACCTCCCTGATGTCATGGCCCTCTTTGAGAACAGAGGACAAATAATAATAACAACTACTCCATAACCAGTCATGTAATTTGAACTGGGATCAGTCCTAGGGAGCCAAGCTTCTAAGGAGAGATTAACTCACTTTTTACACATTCTTTGGCTCATTAAGCACCAACACCCTGGAGCCCCAGAGCAAATTTACTTATAGTTTAGGCTATGCTCACATCTAGAGTTTTCCCAAAGAGAGAGAAGTAAAAGGGTACAAATTCAGCATACAATATGTCAGATATAAGAAAATTAATTTATTTCTATCAAAAAAAAAGAAAAAAAAGAAATGCTAGGCATAAAAGACTCAGTGAGTAGTAATAGAATAACTTGAAACATATTCAGTAACTTCTTATAACTACTGTTAAGGTCTGCTAGGATGCTGACACTTAAATCTCATGAGAACATAAACTAGTTTACAAGACTACTAATTAGGCATCTTACATTTTGTTTCAGTTCTGCATTGTCTAAACAGCTCCAGGTATATGTCTGATAGTAAAATGGTCAGGCTGAGGCTGATTCTCTTGTCATAGGCTGCCCTCATCTAGAATAATAGGGTAACTTGGGGGGACTCCTTGCTGACATTGAGCTCCAACTCATTAGAACTCAGCATTTCCATATGTCTTGAGCTCACAAGGCTATCTCTAAGTGTGGTTGGACATGGTTGATTTTGATAGATACTAATTCGCCTAAGATCAAGGAAGAACAAATGCAAAAGAGATATCAGTCTCAGATGCCATGTTCTCACAGCCCCATAGAGACTGGGTTGGAGATAGGGCAAACCACCTCTTTCCCCTACCCCTCTCAAGAAGCAGCTAGAAATAGTCTTCATAGCTGGAAAGGAAGAGAGAAGACAAGGGAGTAGTCAATCCCTTCTATACATTCATAAGTCATCAGCTCTTCAGGCTTGTAGCCAGTAAGGAGACTCTTCATAATCTGGAAGTGAAAGTCCTTTGGCATCTCTGTCACACATGGCCAGAAGTTGCACATGGCCTGATTCCCGTAGGAATGACAATTATAAACATGCTCCATGGGATATCACCTAGGGGCCAATTAAACCTTGCTATACCCAGATACTTATAATACAAAATGATATAAGTGAATAAGAAAAATGTCCTTTGAATTCAGTTGAAATGTCCAATGTCCTAATTCAATCCACAGGCCTGGAAAGGCCTTCACTTCTAGTTAGTGGGATTAGGGAAGACTTTATAGAGGCAGTGACATTTGAATTTGGTCTTGAAGGTTAACAGAGATGTAGGCGGTTGCAAAAGGAGGAGGGCATCCTGAGGAATGTGGTGAGCAAAGGTATAAGAATGGGAAAGAGCAAGATATATTCAAGAGAAGGCAAATTTCGTGGTTTACCTGGTACATAGAGAATGTGAGGGATAACTGTATGAGGCAGAGGTAGAGAGGAAGGTTGAAGCCAAATTGTGGAGAGTCTCAAATGGCACCCTAAGTTATTTAATAAATAGTGGGGAGCCATTTAAGGGTTTAGTAGAAAAGAATGATATGACCAAAGCTTTGCACTAAGGGAGATTAATCAGGCAGGAGAAAGGTCAGTTAGTCAGCTTTGATTAGAAAAACAGTGGAAAGGGAGCTAGCTCTCTGTGTTCATGTCCCTCCTTTGATAAACAGGCTGGCTATAAGACCTTGTGCAAGTCCTTGTCCTCTCAGTGCTACAGACAGCTAAGACTACAAATTGCAGAAGCAGGTGCTCATCTGTATTGGGAGAGGGGTTTCCTCCCTCTGGGACCAAGGAAATCACAGGTCCAGTCCCCAGAATATCAGGCAGCAGTGCAATGGATGGCTGAGAAAGGGTTAAGAGGCTAGCAGTGGAAAGATAGTCTAGGAAACTATTGTAATGTATATTAACAAATACATTTATATGCTTTACAGTTTACAAAGCACCAGTGCTCTGTGGTTTTTATAAATAACTGACTCAGTTTTGCTACTGAAGAAATAGTTATTGATGCACAGCCTTGGCAGAGCTGCTCCCAGCTCCACAGCCTTTTGAAAACCCACATCCAATCAGACAAACCTTCATCAAAGTCTCATCATTATTTGTTTTAACAAGATTTGAATCTGCCACAGTGGTGTCCTGCAGATAACATCTACTCTCCACAAATGGTAAATTGGTTTTCCTTTACAGGTAAACCTGCTAGT